CATATTTCACCATCCCTGATGCTTCAATTGTAATACCGAGCTGAATGTAAATATTTAATAGTCATTTTCCTGCTTTCGTTTTTAACCGAGTTAATGATAATTTGTTAATGTTTTTTTTTTTAAATGTTTGTCAGTTCCTCAGGTTGCTAGGCCAGCGTGCCCTGAGGATCCTGCCACCTAGCTGTGATGAGATAGCTGTTCCTCTTCCTGGTCATTCCTTTCTCTCTAGTTTAAATACACCCTCCATAGGTGCTTTGTAGTGCGCTCCATGGCTTGCTGGGGTCTACAAGAGACCCCCAGATATATATATCTCGTGGAGCAGCCACTGAACCCTGACCTGCACTCTGAAAAAGACTACATTGCTTTCGCGTGTATGTCAAAACTGAATTTGCAGAGACATGCACAATTTAATCAGGTTAAGGTGAGGAAATGTGGAGATGTTTTCTTTTCTAAGCTACTGTCAAATTCCGCCAGCGTTGTGGTGGATCTGTGGAGGTTATCGAAGTTATGCGTTTTTCCATTATAAAGTAATTTTCCTTTGGTACCACATGTTAAAAGCAATCAGGGAGATAAGCCTCGATTCCCTCAATTTTGAATAGGAGGGGGTGGGTCGGCGTGTGTGTTTGGAATAAGGATTTCAGAGCCGGCAGAATCTGGTGTCTCTTAATGCCGAGGCTTTGTGGAAGAAATTAGCAGATACGTTTAGTCATTTTTTTTTATCCTCCAGCAGTAACTGAGCTCAGCTTTTGTGCTTTTCAGAAAGTAAAAGCAATCAGGTTTTTAGTCTCGCGTCATGGGATTTTGCGGATTAATTTTGCAACATCTTTTTTGAAATCCACTAACAGACTAGGTGTGCTGTCTTCAAGAATGCAGCGCCGTACATTAAATATTGAGAATATTGATTGGCCAGCAGTTACTTCATCGTGTCTATGATATATCGTATGAGTTGACTTGATTGTTTTCCATAACTCTGCCCTGATACCAGTTTTCTGCATTCATTGAGTAATCTAAGCCTTTACTAGAACTTTCTGTTCCCAGTTAAAGTAGTTTATACTGTAACACAAGGGAGAACAAGTTCCTTTAAGGGATATTAAGAACTTTTTTCATTGCGTGGATGATTTATCTTTGTTTCATAAAAAAACACCAGACTATTGGACACGGGTTCCTCTATGTGATAAAGGGTTCCTCAGTGAACACACACGTGATGGACAGGCTGTGGGAAGACTATTGCACCAAGAAGAAAAGGCCCTAAAGGAATTGTGAATTACCACTTGTTTAGCTTTTTGCCAAACTGATTATGTGTCTCATGTTAAAACTGTCGCGATCAAGATACAAAAGGGCCAAGATTCATGTCTGCTTTCCTCGCAGTGCACAGTCCTTGCCCCCTTTTTTTAAGGCAGAAGCACGATCGCTACAAAGAAACTTTCGTTAAAGCTCCATGACATTGCAAAGCCAAAGAGGGTGGTTTGTGTATCTGTGCAATAGGTCTGAGGCTGAAGCCCCACCTTGAACCTCCTTAGGTCCAGGTTCTATCCAAACAGCTCTGGGTGAAGTCCAGGAAATGTTGTAGGAACCGTGTCTTCCTCCTGGAATCCAGGCTGCAGAAGGTCTGGAGGTCAGCCCTGATTTTTTCAAAGACGTGACGATGAGTGTGGGTTCTCAAAGTTTGGATTTCTACCCCTCCATGTGTTTTGCCCCAAGTGCGCTAACTTGCACAGGCATGCGGTGGCATATTGGTGGAGGTCAAATACTGTAGGTTGAACTGTCTCATTTCCCTCCTTGGATCTGTCTGTAAGGTGAAGTGCTCTACGTCAGCCCCAGTACAACAGCACGGAGGTGCAGGAGTGACATGCAATGCAGACGGCAAAAGGATCGTTAGGATTACTCTGTCAGAGGCTTCCCTATGTCAATTGGGACTGAATGAGCCAGTGCAGGGTGAAACTCAGCCTTTCTTTCACAAGTAGGCCAGTGTATTCCCAGGACATTACCCTCTTAATTGTTAGGACCTGGCACAATTCTTGCAATCTTAATCTTCCTCTGGAAGAAAGGAGGTCTTGCACTTTTTGAGGGAGTGAAATTCAGAGAGGCTGTGTGTTAGAACTAGGGAAAACGTTTAACTGTCTCCTCACCCCCCCCCAAACCCCCCTCCAAACCATCACCATTATCTCCAGTCTTGTTGCTGAATGCCTACGTGGAGACCTCTTCTGTAAGGTGATCCTGGCTGTTTAAACATGACTGTACATCAAACTAATGGTGCGCAAAGAAAGACGTTTGAAAGGAATAAACACCAGTCTCTCTTAATCCTTTTTATGTTTCAGTCATTAAGTGTTCGTATAAAAGTGTCTGAGTTGACAGTGGGATGCAGATACCATCTTTTTGTGAAAATGCAACCTTTTGGAAAAAGATCATTTAGTGTAAATATCTCTTGGATCTTCTTGTATCTCAAAACCAAGGCCCAAAACTGCAAAACAAAGAACTTTCTTCTAAGTAGTACTCACTGTACTTTAAAATCTAAAGCCATCAGTCCACACTGAAGAGAAGCACAAGTTTGAGAACTGCAATCTGCTTATTTTGTACCACCAGGGCAGCACGTTTAGTAGTGTCTGCGGGGTTGAAAATGATGGCTCCGATGGTGTTCTGATTCGGAGGCAGAGTTAGGGTCAATTCCAGGTTTTTATTTCCAGTTGCTCTTTTTTCACACCTTTTCCTGTTCCTTTTTTACATTCACAGCACTGGAATTGGTTTAGAGAAGGAAATGGGCTTGATCCCACCCCCGATGAGTAGGAAACTGCGCTCTTGTTGCTTAGAGATGAGCCTGGCTAGTGTAGCACACTCTGCGCTTGGCTGAGTGCCGGAACTGCAGATAGAGAATGAAACAACAATTATTCCATTATAATACTGTTGATGGATTTTTCTTTTTCCTCATCATCTAGCCCTCCTGCTTAGGTATAATGTCTTGCCATTCAGCAGAAAGGGCCTTTATGCGTTAGTAGGTTTCACTACCAATCAGAATTTCTTCAGGTGTTCTACTTTATTTTCTTGCCAGTATTTTTATTGCAATCCCAATCTTTAGAAAAAATGTACTGTTCAGCAAGGTGTTGTTTGTCTTTACATAGGTCGCATGGTGAAAGAACCTGTAGTTCAATGTGTGGTGTTTAATTAGGCTTTTCCGTATCTTTAAAAGTCACCTATCTGTTGTAACTCGGATCAGTAGAGCTGACCAGAGGAGAACTCGGAGAGCTTTTTGACATTTCGGCACCTGGGCATCCTAGCATCTGAATACATCCTTTCTTCCTGGTTCTGTTCTTTAGATGGTAACCAATAAGCTTGGTCGTTGCTGCCAAGGTATAAAAAGGGTATTTGCAGTATGTGCTTCAGGGCTAAGTGAAGAGACCACCTCTGTGCTTGACTGTCCGGGGGCATTCGTAATAAACTCATTTCAGCTGCTCTGTAACATCATGCCTCCCTACAGGTGGCAGAGAGAAAGTGTTTTTATGTGCATGTGGGAGATTTTAAACAGGCTGCCATTATGGCCATTCCTGAGGCAAAAGTGTTTGTTGAAGAACACATATCCTGCAGTTTTTAAAATCTGGGCTTTTGGTTTCTTTGCATTTGCTGATAATACCAGGCTTTGTCCGATACAAAGGAAATCTTGCACAGCTTCAAGGGAGTCCTGCTTTTGGAAAAGGAGTAGTTAGAAAAGATCCGTCTGTGTTTGGCTTTTATTCCAGGTCATTCTTATCTGGAGTTTCTGTCACACATGAAGGAAACGCTGTTTACGAAATGAATGAAATGAATGATAAACTCCTGTGAGTTTAAACCTTGAATAAAAAAATAAGTTTTGAGGAAAGATGCGGTGACCTTTAAGAAAAAAGGAAACCATCAATTTTGCAGGCAACTTTAATTGCTTTCAAATATTCTTTTAATCAGGCTGTCTGGTTTTATATGACAAATACACAGTTTGTGTAATGTCAGAATAATAAAATCAGTTTGGAAATGGCAACTACTTCACAGCTGTCTTTAGTTTATTTTGATGCAGGCGAGTCAGTATTTTGAAAAGACATGGAGTGATTTAACTAACGACAGAGTGTTACGCAAGACCCATCAAGTTCTGTAAAAAAATGCAGGCGAAGGCCGATGGAGATGGGTAAGTCTCTAGGGAATGAAAGGGCACATGTGATCCTTCAAAGGAAATGGACAGACCAGACACAGGTGGGGTTGAGACTCGACTATGCCTGCATTCAGGTTTCTGCAGGACTCCTCTGGGTTTTCAGAACTAGAAACATAGTAGTTCATCGTTCTTCTCAGGAATGACTTGACTCCTGTAGTGCCTGTTGGGACTAAATGTGGGGTGTATGAGGGACAAACTGTTGTAATGAAAATGACAATTGACTGCACATCTGGTCGACACTCCCCTCCGTGACTGCACTTGAATTTCCCTTGAGGGTGCTGAATGGATTTTTGTGTTGTACAATTAAGTGTTTTCTTTCTTTTTTTATTCCGGGGGGGGGCAAAAGTGCTTCAGATAACACTTGTCCATTTTCCAAGGTGTTGAAGGGGGGGGATGAAAAGTCATGGTAACAATTAAGCGGAGAGCTTGATTAAAAGCAGGAGTCGTCTCTTACATCATCAGATCGGCCTTGGACTCATCTGCAGGACGCTGGGGTTTAACGCTGCCAGAGGGTCTCCCTGTGGCCCGGCACTGATTCAAGCTAAACTGATGCTCTTGTGTTTACAGAGTTCCCGGGGGATCCACACTCCGTGGGACGAATTGTAGGCTCAGGTACAGGTCCAAAACAATCCTGGAAACAGTCAGACCTGGCAGCCATGTTGGGAGGTTGTCTTACAGCTCAAGAAAGAGGTTTCATTGTTTCATCGCTAAAGCAGTCTTTATGAAGCGCCTTATTGCTTTCCGATTGTAGAGGACAGTTTTCTTAACCACTGTAGCCTTCGCTCGCCCAACTGCGTGGTGAGAACTTTCACGTAGACTGTATGATTGTCTTAGTACAGTACCTTCAAATCGGGTCAACCATACTGATGCACAATGAAAACACAAGTCTCAAGGTTTAAATCGGTAGCAAATTAGACGCATTTTAAAATGATGAGCCGAGGGCTTTCTTGGCTAAATTGTTCCTTTTGGATAACTAAACGCCGAGCTCAAGTCATGTTACATGTATAAATGACTCAAATGTTAGTTCTTGAAAGCTCTAGCCACTTACAGTTTGGTATTGGAGTTAACATGGTCAAAAAGTAGTCTTACAATTCTGTATAAATTGCCATTCAAAAAGACATGATTTTACTTAAACAGCAAGAGCAGCAAATGATACCGCCATGCCCACCTTCTCCAGTGAATATCTCTTGTTTGCTGTTCACAAGATTGAAGGTGGTCTGTGTGAGAGAAAAGTGTTGTGGAGAGGAAGATGTTCTCCTTCAACAGTTAAATTCACAGAAACTTGCTTTGTGAAAGATGGGCCCCATCCTGGAAGGCAGAAGGTCACCTCACCAGTCCCGGGCATCTGTGATGTCTTTCTGATCCACCTGGATTATCATTTGCAGTGACTACAATGTGAGAAGTTCTTGTGAAGAAATAACTTGTGGATCAGCCATGTCCAGCTGCTGGCTGCCGGAAAGTGAGGCCTGTTCACAGGAATGACATGCTTCAGCTGTGAGATCTACCGAATCTTCTGTGCTGGAGGACATCTGCGACAGTGGTAGAGAGTAGTGCCATGTTCACCAATGAATGCCATTTTGCTCTTGACAGACCTGTCATTAGAAGATAAATGGAGACCTCCCGTTGATCATTGCTGTGTTCAGGCCAATCAGTGGGGCTGGAGAAGTATGATGATCTAGTGAAAAACCTTCTTTAAACATGAGTGCCTTTGATGCAGATGGCAAGCTTACCGCTGCCTGATACACTGACAGTGACCTTTGTAATTGTCAATCTGTTCCTGTAAGCTGATCTTCTATGGTCTGGAGGTTGTAGCCAGACATCGCAAGACCACACAGTGCTATGATTACAGCGCACGACTTTGGTAACATAATGTCAAGGTCTGAGTGTGGCCAGTCCTTTCTTCTGATCCAAATCCAAGGACCAGCTCAAGCACAGCCATCAACAGAAGACAGAAGCATGACTGGCCAGTCCTCACCTGCTGACAGCAGCTGCAGAGGAGGAGAAGCAGAATATCCTACTGTCTGTCCAGAGGCTCATGAGATCTACACTTCTGGATTCCCAGGACTGTGTTCATGCTCAGGGAAGTCATACCTGATAATCAGCTTGGATGATTTCATCCTGATTGTGTGCCATGTTTCGCACTGAAAGCCTAGCAGGATTTTGTTTTTTACCTTTGTTATTTTTCAGATTGTCCACAATTTCGTATCCAGTTAAGTAAGACTTGTTAGTTTCTTTTGTGCTTCAGTGTATAACAGAATTTGAAGGGGGTACTCAGGTGTGGAAAATGAAGGCATTTTAATGTAAAGATTGAAAATCACTACAAAACATTTACTTTTAAAATACCTTATTTCCACCACTGCTCTGAAACGTTATCATGAAGAAACAGTGTCTTTAACTGTAACATTATTTTGTCTGATTTGGTTTAAGTGCAATTATGTAACCAAACAAATCCTGTGCCTATTATTAAGTCATTTATTGACAAGAAGTATAACCTCCCAACATTGCAAAACAAAGCCCATTTGCCAGCTCTATGTAAGCTTCAGTGTCCCTACAAAATCACATGTAAAACTTACAAAGACTTTTAATCCGCTTCTTCTGCCTGGCCCTAGTTTCTAATGCACTTTCTTCTTTGAATTCAACCGCTTTGTTCAGAGAGAAGCCAAATTGTTAGTGGGAGGAAATGAATTGGCAGTTTATCCACAGGTACTACACATATCCCCTTTTCAGAATGAGCCTGCTGTGAGCATCAAACAGCCGGTACGTCACCCCCCCACTCCCACTCACATTTCCAAAGTTTCTGATGGGACTGATTATATAGTGAGGGTTCTGCCCCCTTTTTTAAAAATGATCTTGATCGAGCCAGGCAGCGGGTGATTTCCCTCTGCCCAGCGGCTGCCTTGTCCCGCCGACATCCCTGGCTATGCCACAGGCAACACTGCGTCGCAGGAGACTCTTTCGGGGGTGGGGGGACACAGTTACAGCCCTCCTGCCTTTTGCTACCCATCACACTTAAGATCGTTCATCTTGCATTCCTGGGGATGCCGATCCACCCAGGGGAAAAAAAGCAAAGCACGGTCTTGCCCATTTTCCCCCCTGTGCAATCGCACTTCCCGCAAGCTGCATGCAGGCTGCCTTCAGCGGGCTTGCTGAACAGAACGGGCAGGCCGGCCCTCGTCTTTGTAAGCGCGTGGGGACACTGAGGTTTCTGGTTCCTAACCTGGGAAGCTCCAGTCAAGAGTTCTTGCTTGAAACCTCTTGCCTGGTCTGCTGCTTTGCCTGAGCCCCACTGCAGGCGAAACCCTGTGCTGGGGTTGCAGTGCACGTCTCCACTCCCACTCCCAGTGCTGCTGCATAAACACCCTCTTAACCGCAGATACTTCTGGGCCTCAGGTCTCATAACTTTTTAGGTGTTGGGGAAGGGTCTTTCGGGCTCGCTGAAAATACTGCATTTCCTTTAATCTCCTCGGCACCCTTGAGAATTTACTTTAAATCCCAGCAATTGTTTCACACTCCTGATTCTTCTGTTTTTTTTTTTAATTTGCAAGCTAAATCGTTTATAGAATGAGGCCTGTGCTACAGCTCTTGCTAGCTCTGCTATAAATATATTGTTTTGGAGAGGTAAGTGTGTCGTGAACAAAACAGATGGGAGGTTCTGATTGCGCAAATGTGATCCCTTTACTGTGGGAATTGTTCTGTGCTCCTTTCAAGCGCGCTGTTATTTTGTTTGTAAATCCCAATGATATTTGTAACAGTTTTTCTTCACCTTCTTGACTTGACTGACTTGATGTGGTTTTGTTCTCATCATTGCAGAACGGGTGACACAAAAACGCTGAGGAAAGATGCTAGAGTTGGAAGGGATAAATCGGACATGAGCTGCAAAAGGGAGAGATTAAGCCATGCAGTGTCTTGACAACACACATTGTTAATGTGATTTGTCTTAAGAAAAAATTTAAAAAGACTAAGTGTGTGAGAATTTTTGAAAGTGACACTTTTTATCATATGGAACTGATAATAACACATGCTCCAAAACAGAAGTACAGGCACTTGGCACATTTTGTTGGCTTTCAGGTATAGACCACACCATCAGCCTCAGCATTTATTTATTAAATTCTTAAAGCTTACAGAATGGAATAATTGCAGCTGTTAGAAAACTATGCTAATTCTCTTCATAGCAAATGGTTTCGATTCCCCAGATCAGGTACGCATTTCCTGAGCTCTAGTTTTATTAGGTATGTAAAAAGATTATGGAAAAAAAGATTGGTCATTTGTTTCAATAAACTATTGTTTCTTCAAGTGAAGAATGTTTTCCATCTGTATAATGATATAGGTGGTATTCACCCTTGATAAAAGCGAAGTTCTTCTTGTAGTTGTGTTGATGAAAATGCCTTCTCTGTGTTGTCTGGGCATCATTTGGCAATATGGTACTAAAAACCAAACTAAAGAAAAATACAGCAAAGCCAGCCTACACCATGATGAGCATTTTTATATATGTTTGAAGCACAATTCAAGGTACTTGGCGAAGAAGTAACAAGTGAAGAACCTCATACGGTCAGTGGCTTGACGGACCTTGACAGATCAGAAAGGAGAGGTATGCAGAAGGGAACCAGAGTCCTGTTCTGTGCTGTTCTGTTAGAATGATGGTACTGCAGGCAGGCTTGCCGTTGGCCGGACGCGTCTAAGGACTCCAGTGTGACTGGCCAGAATATAATCTTGGGGAAAGATTTTGACACTGCACTCCTTAGATATGACAAGAGGAGCTGTATGGAACACTGGATTAACTGAACAGTTCACTAATGTGTTCTTTCGAGGTAAAATTGACTCATCTTTGTTGTCCACCCTGATAAATAAACGTGGGGTTTTTCTAATTCAGAGATGGAAGGGACTAAGGTTTCAAAGTCAGAAGGGCTGGAAGTGGAATGTGCTCCTCTTCTGGGCTAAGAGATGTATAAGACAAGAACAGTCTGCATGCTCTCGGTTCTTCTGTGCAGTGCAACAAAACCTTGAAGCAATGAGAAAAGACTGTTGTACACACAGGCTGCTCCACTGGACTGAGACGTTTTGTTTAATCAAAATTCTGAATGTTTTGGATAAGTAATAACAATAAATTACATTTTGATACTCATTTGTTAACGACTAGAGTATTACCTAAATATTGTGTGTGTTAGCCATCAAAGGTTTATGCAGTCTCTTGACTTCTTGGCACTGTTGAGTTAAATATTAATAATTTATGGGTTGTTTTTTTTTTTTGCCGAGATCCATTTATTTAGTTGTATTGAGTAACTTGGTTTAATCTACAGTGCTGTAAAAGAGTTAATTTCGGAGCACATAGACTAAAATGTTTGTATGATTTATAGTTCAATGAAAGCTTCACTGTACTTGGGAACGTTTCATACAGGTAGTTAAGAAGATGTTTTTTTTGTACTTGTGTACCAAAACCTCAGAGTAACTATAGATTAATTGATATTGTCATTACTGTTACTTAACTTAAATGGACTTAAATGGTTTCAGTTTTGAGTGGGGAAAAGTTATGGTGGGTCTTCTTTACTCTGCTTATTTAACTGCACATGCCTTAATGCTATGCCATAACATTTAAGCATTTGCAGCTTTTTGTAGCTATTATGGGTGAAAACGCGATTCCTTTAGCAGACCAGAATACATGCTCACATGATTTGGGGTCGTAATGTAATCCAACCTGCCAACCTACATTTCTTTATTTTGCTTTAATCAGAATTAATGTGGTTTTGATTTTTCTCTCCCCAGTGTATGACAAGCAGGGGTTCTTGCTGAAGCTGGATGGTAAACTGTAAGTACATCCTTGTTTTCTCTGCACATGTTATTAACATTAGCTTTTCTTTGTCTCGCCACCAACACCCTGTTGAACACGTTGAAGTGCCTAGACCACTGTTATGCTAGTGATTGTGATCTCATTAGCAACTGTGGCTGGTGTGTGACTTGATTGCAGCCTGTGTGTCATGCAGCCCAGAAAGCCAGAGTGATTGGCAGCATTGAGATTTATCATTTAATTAGCTTAGTGTTTACAAAGAAGTGACATGGCTCTTTCAGTGATACTTTACTCGTTCAGGAAAGGAATACCAAAAAGTTAGGGAACTTTTTTAGTGTTTCCTGAACATTTTCTTTTTCCCATCATTCTGTGAAAGTGAATTACTCTTAAACGGGAGAGTGGTCTTGTGCTTTTATCTCTGTGCATGTGAGGCATCTTGCCCCTGCGCAAGAAGGATGTTGCTGCTCGGCTTCCTTGTGATGTTGCGGTCTTATCCGTTGGTAAAAAACAGATGTTGCATTAACTGAGCTGTGGGACCTCTGGGTTGTAACATGCATCCTTTCATAAACCACAACCATGTTTTATCCTTGATTCATAAAGACAAAGGGCACAGAATTTCTAGTAGCCTTGCTATACACTGAACAGACAATTCCACAGTGGCTTGTGTGTTTTCTAGTAAATTGTTTTCAATTTACAAAGCAATCTTTGCTTACTGGTAATTGCACAGTGAAATGTGCCCATCTATTTATATACTGTAACTAGAAGCTCTTCTACAGTTCAGTCGAACCTTTCCTGAGTTAAAGAAGCAAGGAAACCGCAGATTATATATTCACTGGCTTGACATACTACAGTGTACTTTCTTTTGTTATTCATTAATCCTTTCAGAAATCTTTTTTTTATTGATAGCTTAAAAATATTCATGAGACAAATGGAGAATGCGCCCGTCTTGACCGCTTCTAAAGGAAACAAAGAGTCCCAATGGATTGGCTTTTTCCTTTAGAAGATTTTGGCGTCACACGTTTCTTTTCCTGCCCGTCACAGGTGGGGGGCTGTGTGTTTGGGGGGGGGGGGAGGCCCTGGGAAATGGGTTTCACTCCACATGCCCTGATGAGAGAGCTGGCTCCGGGGAACCCGGTGACCGCAGTCCTGGCATGCATGTAGACACGCGGTGCTGGATCTGATCCGTTCACCTGAAATGAGTCCGCAAGCTGAAATTCCACGTAACGTTTCCCAAACCTTTTTCAGCGGAATTTTATGACACCAGCTGCTTTGCATAGGAGTAGTTTGGATTTAACATTCCACAGCACGAGTGTGTGTTATACACTGCCTCCACTTAATTCATGACATTGCCTTCGTTAGAAAGGCTTCATGCAGTCCTTAAGTATGTCAAATATACTAACAGTCCTTTCGAGTGCATACTTTGGGTTCTTTTGAGTGGTTAATTAAGCTGTGAGCTGTTATTCCATTTAGGACCTTTTTTTTTCCCCCCGTGGAAAACTGTATTGTGGCGGAATGTTACTCAATCAGCAGAAAGAACGAGCTGCCCCTTCTTTACAGAAACATACTCTTGTGAATCCTCATTAATCATTAACCTATTGGAGGTTAAGACTTGAATGTTATGACCAAGAATGGTAAAGAGAAGAAAATCTCCTTGCAGTCTAAACTTGATGTGTAGGAATGTCTGCTTCCTTGTTCTCGAGAGCTTAAATGTTCGGTGCATGGCTGAGTGGCGGCACCCTGAAGTCTTAGCAAACCCCTAAACCCCTGCAGCGCGTGAGGATCCCGGAGTTATTTACAATCAATCAAGTACAGTAAGTTCTTGTCGTTCCACGCCCACACACAAAAACCTTTTGAACTGGCGCGGATTCCAGCCTCTGCAGCCAAAGGGACTCTCAGGGCTGGAGGGCTTTGAAATGGTTCCAAAGCCAATATCCTTGTGATGCCAGCCCGGCTTCAGCTGGCAGAGCTTTCAACTGTGGGCCGGCTGGCTCTCTGCACCCTGTTTATTTGAGTTTGGCTAATTTTCAGCAGGTTATTAATGGGCGGGTTAAAAGCTGCCATTTATGGAGTAATTAATAAAGTGTGTGAGGCTTCACAAGAGACTGACCCTCTCCTCCAAGGTCACGCAGTCATAAGAAATGAGCTGTTGACGTTTTCGAGGTTCAAACCAGGCATTTTAGTCCTAATCATTTTCACAGCTTCTTGTGAGATCCTTAGCTGGATGCAAAGTTCGGAAGACCCTTTTCCTCACCTTGTTGAAGGTGTTTGTTCCGAGTATATGAGGCCGTAAATTATACAGAAGAACCATTTTAAAACATCAAAGTCCTATTTAGATATTAAGGCTATTTAGACAAATAGGTTGCAAGCTTATTGGGTGTGGAAATGGCATGTTTACTGTAGCAGCGGACGTTATTGCAAGTCACTGTTTTAGAAATGTATTTTTTTTATCAGACAAGCATGTTTGTAACAGTAACGGGAAGTATTAAACCATTTTCTACAGGGGCTACAGGCAGTATTTGGAAAATAAAGACTTGTATTGCAGTGTTTATGAAGGTCATAGTTGGCTAGGATTCGGATGCTACCTGTGTGATACAGAGCTTCTTTTGGTCAATAGGGAATTTACAGAGATCTGTAGCACTTTCTAATTTTAGTTCTCCCCAAGTTCCTTAGCAAAAAAATTGAATTGCCTGTTTGTCTTCTCCATGACACGGTGATGGGTCTTTCTTCTGTCCTCTTCCTTAATCCGTCTCCTTGTGCGTCTTCGCAGTTCACCCGAGCTGACCTACAAGTATGGGAATCTCAGCGAGGGAGCCTGCAAGCCTGGGTACGCAGCCGCCAAGATGACTGCCATCTATCCAAAGTAAGCAGACTTTTTCTTCTCCGTCTTGCTTCCGTTGGCAACATCTGCCCTAGATCGCCCATGCTGCCCCTGCCATCTGCAGTGATCAATAACTGGTTTTTATTGCAGGACGAGCTAGGAGTGACTTTGGCTTCTGCATTTTCTCTGTGAGGAGAATTTGGAATCGGGGGTTATAAGAAACAAGGGTCAGGCTTCTGCGTCAGTCCCGTTCCTCTCGTGGAATTTGGGCGAGTTAAGGCATTAGCCAATCATTTCTGTCTCTGTAGCCGAGCCATTAATTAAAAACGCTACATTTCTTAGAGCCAAAATGCAGGTAGGCAGGTAATTGTTTTAAAATGGCGTATGACTCCTGTGTAGCACCTCATAAAGCGGTGATTCTATTGAAGTGTGTCCCGAGGTTTTTTTTTTCCAGAAAAATGCATGCCGCTGTGCAGTTCGACAAACACGATCTGAACCAGCGGCACCCTTGTCTGTTTCACTCTGTGCTGGAGTCTGTGGCTCTTCGGGCTTCATTCAGCTTCTCTCGCGTCCCCTCGAGAGCAGCCTCGAGGGGGTGAACAGAGGGGGCTCCTTTTTGAGACACTATGTCATGCTGCAGTCATGAGGAGTGGTGGCTAATTGTACACGATCTTAGATTGTATAGAAAGCCTTTCTTTCCCTATGTGGGAATGTGTAGGTTAATTCATGTCTAACTTTTCACCTAAAAAACAGTAAATGAAACTCTTCCCTTGTTTGCTGTAAACCACAAAGCTCTTTGTTTCTTGCGGCCCGAGTAACGCAGCCTCCCAGTCTCTGGGAGGTTTAGCCACAGTCCCGTGCCCACAATTAGGATGGAATGACTCAACCCCCTCCACTGGGGTGGAAGGAATACTCAATGGCCCACTGTGATGTCACTTGCCTTTAAAGTTTTTTTTTGCCCAGGCTGTTTGCTAGTGAGCTCCCGGTTATTGAATGTCATTGATCTATAGCACCAGCCCAGAATTGTGGAACTTTGTTAGGATGAAGTCTATTTTCCATATCATTGTACCCCTGAATGCCCATTACTATGGGTCTGTTCATCAAAGGCTTTATTAATACTAGAGATCTGGGGCTGGAATAAATGTGACCATGTTATTATATAAGACATAAGTTGAAAGCAAACTGTAAGAAAGCCATCTTCCTGTTGGTAAGAGATGTTGTTGGCATCTAGCACAACAATCATTCACAAAATAACAAGTCTCAAGCTCTGGCAAATTTTGTTTACCTGTTGTAAACCTGATCTCTCATATACTGTGGTTTTTGGTACTCCAAAAATGGGAACAAAAAACGTAAAATGAGCGAGATGACTATTTAACAAAAAGTTTTTTCCTAGCGGTCGGTGCAAAACTACGGCTAATATGAGCTTAATTCATAGTACAGCCAAGAGGACTCCTAGGAGTCCTTCACACACAAAATGTAGAAGCTAGTAAACATACGTGACTTATGGGACATAATCTCTTAGATCAGTCCTATTTGTTTTTTTGAATTGGAGCCCTTTCCCCCATATCATAAATCTGAAGGAGGGTGATGTTTCCCAGGACTCGGTGGAGCTGGAGGCCTGTGGTATCCATGCTCAGCCCAGAAAAGCAGGAAGAACTGTGCAAGAGCTGCTCCCTCACCAGCTCAGGCCACAGCCTGCTTGTCTTTGCGGTTCATACTGTACACTTGTAACCCCACCTCTGTTTGACAGTGATGCTCCCCCGGTGGGCCAGATTCGGCCTCGGCAAAGAGCCGAGAACAAGAGAAGATGGATCACTTTATTAGTCATATACAATCTCTTGTATTAGGAATTTGTCTTTTCGCATAGCCCGGCTTGCTCTCCATGAGACACACAGGTACACAGACAGGGAGAGAAGCTGGGGGTCAGAGCGCAGGGTCAGCCATTTATACGGCACCCCTGGAGCAGCTGGGGGTGAAGGGCCTTGCTCAGGGGCCCAATGTAGTAGGATTCCTCTGCCGGCCACGGGATATGAACCGGCAACCATTCCAGCCACAGGCGCGGATCCTGAGCCACAGAGCCACTGCACCGCCCCAAACACACCTCAGCAGCACATCTCTTTCTGAAGTGTTTTGCCACCTAAATGGATTGTATGGTAACGTCAGGTTCCACGCTCTGGCTGGCTGAGACAGGGCCACAGTGCACGTTAACACATTTGAAACTTTAAGCCAAGCTGAAAACGTAGAAACGTTTTGCAGGAAGACGGCTCAGCAGCCAAAACGTTACTCCTTCTTTTTGTTATTTTCGGTGTCCTTTGCGGGCATCTGACACAACGTCCCTCTCGAACCATGTTAACGCACTTGCGTTTATTTGTTCATGGTCTCTTCGGTTTATGGCAGTTTCAGGTACTGGGCGGTGGCTGAGGCTTGTGGTTTGTCTTAGAATTTTGTTCCACATGTATGGTTTTCACTCCAAAGATCACGGCTCATAGACATAATGCAAACATCATCTCCCTGATGAAAGATCACTGGGAAGAGTTTTTCAAGTGAAAAAAGAACATGTATTTGGCAAGCATTCTGAATTGAACGCTGCTCAGTTAAGTGAGAGTCCCTTCATTTGATTTGTTTTTGTTGTGGTTTACAAAACCTATCTTGACTTGTAAAAAAAAAAAAGGCTTTCACCTTTCAGAAGTGTTTTAATTTAGCAGTAAGGTGATGAAGGTGCACATGTAGGGGATTATTGACTCGGAGCTGGAAGTCGAGGTGCTATGGAGCCAACAGGACCTCCATGCAGAGTTTCTGTCACATCTTAGAAAACCACATATAGCATAAAACATTTGTTTAGCCATCCGAGATTTTTACTTTCCAAAACAAAAAAAAAAAAAGATTTTTCCTTTGGTGTCCTAATTACCCCCTCTTTAATCATGATTCAATTGCAAAAAAAAAACAACCTCAAGTACGTCAGATTATCAAGTTTCTGGGAGCCACATAAAATACACAGGATGTCTATTTATATTTCTCTGCAAAATCATTACTGCTGTTATAAATGGATATTTCACAACATTTTTCTGAATTGAGTTTCGTTGAACTACCTTGGTATTTTAAGCAGGCGAATTTGTATTTTCTCTTGGGAAAGCAGAGAGTCAGAAAGCTCACTGGCAGTCCGAAGGCTTCCAGATTCACAGTAGATGGACGAAACATGCGATAACATGGGATAATTCTTCATGGTGATCATTTTGGTCTAGTTACTTTGAGCAGTTTTGATCTTTTGTGTCCAGGCTCTTTAAAAGCTCAGTTAAGGTGGCTGATGTTGTGTGGGTTAGACAGTTGTACATCTGAAATCTATTCCCCAACCCAATCTATTCCAGGATTTTTGCATTTTCGATCAGACAAGAGAGATTCCTGAAATGTAGGATTTATTTTTTAAATTATGGAAGTTTTTCTTCTTTTATAAAAAAAAGGTCTTCCTGGCCACTGTGCTAGCTATCTTTCACTTGGAAAACCGTGTCAGGTCTTCCATGAATTTCCATGAGTTGCTGTTAATTCCTGACTATTCCAGAGAATCCCCAGTCTCCTTCAGAGCCATATCAAACGGGACCCCCTTCACACAGGCAGACCCAGCACGACGGTGGCAGCGAGTGTTAAGTGGGGAGCCCCCTACGGTCCCCCAGAATCCTTCAGTACATTGGAGTCCCTCAGCACGCGCTGGTTGGCTTCTTCTTTTCGCCAGTCTGCCCACACCCAGAGCTCAGATCAGCAAGGCTCATCTTGATGGCATGCATCGTAACCTGATCAACCTGGTCGTCTTTCTGTCGTCTTGAGAGCTTTACCAGCGATGGGAAGAGTCTTCTGAAGAGCCTGGAGAGAGTGGACGCTAGTTGTGGCGGTATGGAACAAAGTTGAAGCTGACTTCCTGGTCTCTTTCCGCTGGGTGAGGCCTCGGCTCCATTAAGGGCTTACTGGGAAATGGACTGGACGGGCCGGGTGGGGCCCGCCCCCGCCCGCATTTGTTACCGTTCTGGTGTCATTACTGGTGTCCTTGTGTACAGTATGTGCTATGCAGCTGTCCAAGGGTAAGATCTCTTTGGTGCGAGGTTCGAATGTTGGCTTCCGAGTTTGCATCTGGCCGGAGTAGCAGGCATGGTGTTGAGACCGACGGATCAAATACTGAAATTAAAAGTGGAAGCACTGGGTTGAGGGCCATGCCTCACTGACTTCTCATGGAAGTCCTAAAATTGGCAGTTGGCTCTCGGGACGAGCATGAGTATTGGAAACTATCCGATTGCCGCCGAGCCCGAGGACAGCGTGAAAAGGACAGGGGGAACTAAGACGTCAGGCTTTTTCCAGGCTTGAGGGATTCAATTATTCAGCCTGTGCAGGGATTTCTTTGCTGTTAAAGCCTGGCTGTACTGTCCGAGGGCAGCCGAGGATGAACTTGATGTGGAATCGGGACAGGCTGCAGATTGGATGCATCCTCCTTTTTTTTTTTTTTTTTTTTTTTTATGCATGCTGTTCCCAGGCCTATGTCCCTGTGCGTGAGATGGCTCTGGGTCCCCCTCGCCGACAGCCTTCTTTTCAGTGACAGGCACGCAATGTGGGAACCCACCAGGGTGCAGAAGCGCAGCAGAAGCTCATAAATATGTGAGCAATGCAAAGTGAAATGTGGGAGCTGAGGGACTGGAACTGCGTTTTGAGTTGCATTACAAGTTGGATGGAACAGATCCATTTACTTAACAGTCTCTGATGGAGGGGAAAGTGGTGTTTGAACAAGTCGATTTCGCTCTAGAATTCAGTTTAATTGCTCAGTATAAATGGGCTGTTAAACCATAAGGAAATCCTGGACTCGGACACCTGGAGAGTAAAAATGGAAACTGGAAAGCTTCAGAAATGACTTTTGCGACTACTCAAAGCGGGGTGATTTACAATAGTTTTATAAACACTTGAAGCTGGTCTGTAGTGAGTTGCAGGGCCTTGATATAAAAATGTAAAACTTCAGTGAAGTCATTTATTAAATAGGAGTTTTGATTTGAAAGTTGAATTCGTCC